TCGCAGGACTGGCCTAGGGTAATTTTTAGAGGGGTTTTAATCAATATTTTAAATTGGACAATTCTTTAATATTCCTTTTAATTAATTTTAAATCTGTATTGTTATTTGTGTATTTTAATTGATTGTCAGCCGCCCTGAGTCCTACGAGGAGAAGGGCGGGATATAAATCTAAATAATAAATAAATAAATAAATAAATAAATAAATAAATAAATAAATATCTTGGTTAGTCTAGAGAAAGGACAAGGGGGGGACATGATAGCAATATTCCAGTATTTTAGACCCATTGCCAGCCTTTGACAGGATTAAAACTCAAGGAAGTCAGCATTTTAGACCCATTGCCAGCCTTTGACAGGATTAAAACTCAAGGAAGCCAGCATTTTAGACCCATTGCTAGCCTTTGACAGAATTAAAACTCAAGGAAGCCAGCATTTTAGACCCATTGCCAGCCTTTGACAGGATTAAAACTCAAGGAAGCCAGCATTTTAGACCCATTGCTAGCTTTTGCAAAACAGGCTAAATAAATCTAAGAACAAAAGCAAGCTCCAATTACAAAATGCTGTAAAAATCCTTGTATTCACCAAACCAAGCTATCAGCTGTCCCAGAACCACATGCTATGTCGCTTCTGACCAATTAAAAGTTTTCTTTTTGAGCTGCTGTCTTTGTTCGTCATTTCCTGAGGGTGCCCTTCCCACACTCCCTTATTTTCCCATTGCCTTCAATTTTCTTTATATTCCTGTATTTTATATTTTGATAAACTAATATAATATTTGACATCCGTGAATAGCTCTCCAGACTACTTCTGCCCATTGATTCTGGATGGCCACTTCCTGGTCAGGCACACAGAAAAGTCCAGAGGGTCATCCGTGTTTCCCTTCCTTGTGCTCTTCCAAACTGGTCTCCAGCAAGTAGCAACCCTTCAAGAGAGTTGAAAGTTGTCCCAGGGACGTTGCGTTTCCTCTGGGATGTTTGTGTGCAAATCCAGAGAAGAAAAGTCAATCAAGAACACATTCTGACATGCCTTTCTTCTCCCAAACTTCCTCCTAGCTACAAACGTGGCCAGAGGGCGTCCAGCTTTCCAGTCTTCCACCTTTCCAAGCCAGTTCAATTCAGTTGCAAGCAAAGCCGTGGATGGGAACTGCAGTGGACACTGGATTGGGCAGAACACCTGCACCCACACGAAGCGAGAACGGGGGCCCTGGTGGTACGTGGACCTGGGCAGCCGGTATGCCATTTCTTCCGTGATGGTGAAAAACCGTGCAGACTGCTGCGGAGAAAGGCTTCGGGGAGCAGAGATCCGCGTGGCAGACTGCATGCCCCACCGTGGACTCTCCAATCTTCTGTAAGTTCCTCTTTGCCCACACCAGAGAGAGCTGTTAATCAGGAGACGAACTGACTAGGGGAAAGGACGTCAATTTGGTAGCACCCAAAACATTGCAGATGGGACCAGCACTTGGATTTGGGGTGGGGGGGAGGCTAAATTGCTTCTGTATCCTGTTTTTAAGAATGCATTTTTAAATTTTGTTCAGCATATGGCATCTACAGAGGTCATGCAATCATGATATACAAATATGTTTAAATGAAGCATCAGCAAAGATAGATAGATAGATAGATAGATAGATAGATAGATAGATAGATAGATAGATAGATAGATAGATAGATAGATAGATAGATAGATATGGATGGATGAGAAAGAGAGAGGGAGAAAGAGAGAGAGAATGAGGGTGATAAAATCTAGGAGATAAAAATATTAAATTAAGATAAAACCATAATAAAACCACCATAATATGGTGCCATTCTCTCGCAATGGGATAGACGTTATAGTTCAATATCCGACAAAGCTTAACCATGGAATTGCTTCTGCTGTGGCTGCTATGAGATCAACCCAGGTGCCTTGAAAAGTCCTGAGGAGACGTTCTCAAACTAGTATATGTTACCGTTTGTAGGAATGCATTAACTCCTCTTTTGATTCGCTCCTTCTGAACCGCGACAAACTATGGGGGAGGGTCTTCCCTTTTTCTCTTCCAACAGCTGTGGGAGAATCACCGACACCCGTCTGGGCTCCATCAACACCATCTCCTGCGACGGTCGTGTGGGACGCTATGTCACCGTCACCGTTCCTGGCCGCACAGTATCCCTGGCACTGTGTGAGGTGGAAGTCTACGGGACCAGGGTGTGAAGCCAGGAGACTTGTGTGTCAGGACAGGGACAAAGATAATGGATAACTCAATCGATTCTCTTAAATAAACCTACTCTGAGCAATTCTGGGATTGGTTTTTAAGACACAAAGGCAAAGAGGGCTAGACCACGAAGGAGAGGGCAACGTCTACGTCTTCAAGATCTGTTTGGTGTTGCAGTCTTAGATCAATCCCTTTTATTTTTTATTAGTTGCGAAGTCGTGTCCGACCCATCGCGACCCCATGGACAATGTCCCTCCAGGCCTTCCTGTCCTCTACCATCCTCTGGAGTCCATTGAAGCTCATGCCTTCTGCTTCAGTGACTCCATCCAGCCACCTCCTTCTCTGTCGTCCCCTTCTTCTCTTGCCCTCCATCTTACATCCCTCTTATAACATAC